ACAGTTCTTAAACATAAACAAGGGCATGAGCAGGACGAATTTTAACAAATAACTATATACCGAAATAATGAAAGAAAACTATAATAATATAAATAAATAATAAAAATAAATAAGAAGAAATAATAAAACTCGTGACTTGGACCGGGATACCAGTTTATATTCCAACAATACTTACGTATTTAATTATATGCACTTTTATGCAGTGTCACTCATCTGACAATTTTAATTTAGTCTATTAATTATCAGCACAGGTTCTAGACCAGTGATATAATCTGCGCAACCTAGTTGGGCCCCTACTAACATATCCCTGCTTAGTTATCTTTTCTATCTGTTGACTTTCCGTTAACTCAAATAAATTAAGAACAATGATTTAATAATATTTTATATTTGGTAATGTTTTTTATTCAATTTGAAGAAATATATATGTAATGCCAAGTATTTATTAAGGGTAAATAAAATTTAAATATTCTAAATAAATTAACTAAATTTGTAAATATTTACATAGTTCATAAGTCATTATACTATTTATATTATCAATTAAATTTTTAATTTTACGAAAAGCATCACTTCACATATTTACTTTTGTTTGGGCTAAGCCAGCAATTATTTATTAGGCCGGATATGATATTTATTTAAGTAGTTAATAAATATGTTAGCGTATTATAGCATAGAGTGAATAATTGGCTAAAATTGGTCAGGAACCGAAAGACATCCCGAGAAATTTGCAATATTATTGCACTGGGAGTCGCTGTAGAATTAACAAGCTGGTGGTTTTCTGCTTTGCCAAGGCAAGCCAGCTATGAGCAGAGACATGTAGGCACTTAATGAGAGCAGAGAAATGATAGTGAAGAAATGGCAGGACCACGTTATCATCAGTTTCTATTATGTGAATTGGGAGGGTCGAAGAATTTCCTTGTTTCTGAGTTTGTTTACTAAGGTGACCTTCATTCATTATTCTGTGAATTTATGCCTACCTTGACATGCCCTATTGCTGGCCACTATTGTTCATATTTTGCTAGTATATACTGCTGTGTTTATTTGCATATGATTATCAACCTTTAATTAACTGCCTTATTGCAGACTTGGTGTAGTGTCTAAACTATTCCTGGCATTTGTGGCAGGCCGTTTCTCTTTTTAATCATGTAATCTATTATCACTTCGCATTAATTTTTCTTATTTGTATTTTAATTCAGGTCTATAAGCTTTAAATTGATAAAATATAAGAGACCTGAATTTGTATAGTAAGTGCTAATTCTAAAAAGGCTTAATTATTAAATGAGCAATTGTTGAAACTGCATACAATATAAATGCCATTGAAATGCAGTAATAGTAAGTCTAAATATAAAAAATATTTGATATCGATATTTTATAATATTAAGGAATAGCATTATGCAAGTTATATATATGTAAGGAAAGTTATTTATAATTATATTAATACAGATATATAATGAATAGAATGTATCTTAAATCGTACTTTAATTATAATGTCAAGTAAAAAAAAAAGAGAACGTTCAAATCTTCCTATTGAAATAAATCCATTTACTTTAGCTACACAAGTTACAAAGCAAGTAGTAGCAAATAACGAAAATTATAATGAATTAGTATCAGACTTAGAATCTCAAAATGAAAGTGAAACTGATTCAAATAATGAAATTAAGTTTATATCAAACTATTCTATTAAGCATCCTCGGCTTACCAAAAAAAATTTAAAGTAGAACCCTAACTGGCTTCAATTTTATCCATGGCTTAGACCTGAACCATTAACAAATCCTTTAATATTGTATTGTAAATGGTATGAAAAAGCAAAATTTAATAATATTTTTACTGAAGGTACAAGCTGGTTTAAAGAACAATATTTAATTCGACATTTAAATTCAAAAGATCATCAAAAAGCACAAGAAATTGAAACACATATTCAGTTAACTATTAATGAGAGTATTAGAAAGCCTTTATCAGTTGAAAAATTAAAAGTTATTCAAAATATGCGTAATATGTATTGGTTAGTAGAAAACAATATAGCAACATTAAACCTTCAAGATTTATGTAATTTAGTAGAAACACAAATTCAAAATAAAGAAGATTATATAATTTCTACTAGCGCATGTACTATTAGACCAGTTTCTTTAACAAATATAATACCTGAAAAAAGATATAAGTATGGTTCATATTCAAATAACCATGCTGGACATGATTTTATTGAAGCAATTGCACGAGTAATTGAAGAATCAACTATTAAAGAACTAACTGAATCTTTGACTTGGAGTATAATGATTGATGAAAGCACTACAATTACAAATGAAAAAAATCTTGCTATAGTATCAAAACATCTTGTTCAAAATATTCCATATTATAGATATCTTGGAATGATACAACTTACTTCAGGAACTGCTGATGCTATAATCAATGAATTATTACGATTTTTTATAGCTAAAAATTTACCAACTAAAACATTATTTCATATGGGATCAGATGGTGCAAGCGTAATGTTAGGTATAATTTATATTTAATTTTTAATATTTAAAATTAATTTATAATTACTAATTTAATTAAAAATTAAAAATTATTATTAAAGGAAAATTAAATGGCGTAGCTACTCAATTAAAAGCATTGTATCCTTTTTTAACTGAACATCACTGTATTTCACATCGTTTAGCACTTGCTGGTAAAGATGCTGCTAAAAAAGTTCCATATTTTAGTCATTATGAATATATTGTTAAAAAACTTTATACCTATTTTAGTACATCTTTTTTACGAATGCAAAATTTAAAGATGATAGAAAAAGAATTTGGTGATCCAGAATTAGTACTTCTTCAAATAGTTACAACTCGTTGGCTTTCATTTTCTAATGTAGTTAAAAATTTACATCAAATTATTAATTCAGTTGTTGAAGCTTTATTAGAAGATAGTTTAACAGATAAAATAGCAGAGTTTTTATATTTAGAAATTGATAATAATTTTTATTTAACTACATATTATTTAGCAGATATTATGGGATATTTAAGACGATTAACATTACTTTTTCAAGCTAATTATGTATCTTTATTTGACATGAAACTTCAACTGAATTCAACAATTCAGGCTATTACTACTGAATTTATTGGCGAAAAAGATATAGCACCAACATGGGGAACTCATTTAAAAAACTATCTAATAGAAAAAAATATAGATGATTTTGAAATACCATTATTTGTTCAAGATTTTGCAAAAGCTGTTATTGAAAGTTTAAATGAAAGATTTCCAGATCATAATCTTATTGATGCATTCTGCATATTTGATCCAAAAGAATTACCAAGTAATAAAAGTATGCTAGGATATTACGGTCAAGAATCTATTCAAAAATTAATTAATTTCTATGGAGTTACAAAATTTATTAAAGGTAATAAGTTAAAATTAAGCTTTATATTGTTTTTTAAATTTTTTTTAAAAACTAAAATTAAGTTTATTTAAAATTAATAGATAATGAAATTTCAGCTATTATTAATGGTACAGAACTTTTACAAGAATGGTCTATATTTCGTTCTTTATTATATAATTTTCAAAACTTTAAATTATATGAAGCTTGGCAAAATATTTTTAAAATTGAAAATTTTAAAATACTTTATCCAAATATTTCTATTTTAGCATCATTATTACTTATTTTGCCTCTTTCTAATGCTTATGTTGAAAGAGTATTTTCATATCAAAATAATATTAAAACAAAATTACGAAATCGTATACAATTAGAAACTCTTAATGATCTTCTTATAATTTCTTTAAATGGACCTTCTATAGAATTATTTGATTTTGAAAAAGCTTATAACTATTGGATTTCTAATCCTCGTTATAATTTTATTTAAATTTATGTATAATTTTATAAATATTTTTAATATTTTTATATTTTTATAAATATATATATTTAATAAAATTTAAATAAATATTATATATAGTATTAAATATAAAAAAATATAAAAAAATATCAAATTTTAAAATTATATAATCAAATATAAATGGTTAATTTTATATAATAAATTTTAATTAGTTAAAAATAAATAAATATAAATAATTTTTTATATAATAAATACAAAATTTTTAAATATATATAAATTTTTGAGAAAGAGAAAGAGAGAGAAAGTGAATAAGTAAGTAAATAAGTAAATAAGTGAGTAAGTAAGTAAGTAAATAAGTAAATAAGTGAGAAAAAAAAAGAGAGAGAATGAAAATGAGAAAAAATAATTTTATTAGTTGAGAATATAAATAAAATTTTGAGAATACTAAATTAAATATATATATGCTCTTGAAAACATAGATTTTAAAACAGATTTTCTACACTACTTGTATCTACATAGTTACTTCCTTATACTAACTCACCAAAAACAAAAATTCAAGGCAAATAGAAGAATTTTTGACTACAACTCTATAGACAAAGAAACTTGAAAAGAATTTACAAACCAAGTTAACTACAATCTCAACTAAAACAATACTTCTCTTATACTAAATACTACTAATTCTTTTGAAATATATTAGCACAAAATTTAAACAAGTATTATCTCTGCTACTCTTAAGATAATACTAAACAAAAAGCTAAAATTTAAGAATTTTCACCATACTTACTCACAAAAAGCTACACTACTCTATCAAAATCTAAAATTAATAGAACAAATTATCTGACAAGTTCAATATATATTCAATAACAACTCTTTAATTCTAGCTAATATTCTATTCTTAATTAATAAAATCAATTAATAACAAAATCTAAATATTAATAACCCTCCTACTGACAACAACTAAATTTTAACATAGCTTAACCATATACAAGTATATTAGAAAACTTTATATAAAGTTTGAGAAACAGAAAATTCAATATATATTCAACAACAAATAAATACAGCAACTGAAAAAAGATACTCAGCTTTTCAAACACAACTAACAAAGATGATCAACAGTATTCTTGATAGACATACTGACTATGTTTTCTTTTAAAATTTTAAAACTGATACAGAACTAATAACTGACTTTATTTTTATTAAAGAACAAGTTAAGAATCACTTTGACAAATAGACTAAATACAGATCTATTAACTAACAAATCTTTAATACAACTAAAAAAACTGCTATAAACTACTCTTTCTAATTAATACTTTCAACTATAATAACATTCTTAATACTATTACAACAGAAAAAATTACTTATATATCTAAAAACCTCTCTAATAACAAAGTATGTAGTCTATTAGACATTAGCTACAAGATGCTTAAACATGCTAGTAATATGTTTCTACAATTAGTCACAATTTTGTTCAATAAATACCTAATATCTCAAACAATTTCAAAATAATAAAAAGAAGAATATATCTTTCTAATATTAAAAAAGCTAGTATTTGACAGTAATTTACATAATACTAGACCTATTAGCCTTATTGAATATATCAAAAAACTCTATACAAAAATCTTTACAAACTATCTTAATATTTCTCTAATATTTAAACAAATTTTTTCTTCATTCAACTATGTAACTTTCTTAAAAAATAGTACATCAACTCTAATTCATATTCTTAACAATATTATTGAAGACTCATATAGCAATAACAAGAAGCTTTGGTTGTTATCACAGAATATGAGCAAAGTATTTAACTCTGTTAATATAGATCTACTAAAAAAATCTTTAAAAAGAATTCAGTTTCTACTTCAACTTATCCAAATTATACTTAATTTGTTCTCAAATTACTTTAACAAAATTATTACTAACTTTGAACTGATACAGTTATATACAGTTAAAAATAGAATAGATTAAAGAGAAACAATTATACCTTTGCTATAGCATATCTACTATGATCCTCTAATATTACATATTACTAATTAATATAAAGGCTATAGCCTAGGAGTTTTTTGGATTACAAATCTTAAAGAGAAAAAGACTAATTAGCTCTAAACATCAATTTCTGTTCTAGTATTTATAGATGATATATTGTAAATAGCTTTTTTAAAAAATAAACTTAAGCAAATTCTAATACTCACTTTATTTTTTTTTATAATAGCTAATATACAAGTTAACTCACTTAAGTCTATTCTTAGTACTAATGCAAAAAAACTAACACCAATTAAATTTATCCAACAATTAATTATTCTACTAGCTAAAAACACTTCTTTTAATTAGTAGCACTAATCTGACTTGGCAGCTAACTGGATTGGGAGGATCTGTCTTATGAAACATCCAAAAAAATAGAATACAGAAAACTAGTAGAAAGCTATAGTAGAAACTGGAGTTGTATAAATATCTACAAGGGTCTAAACTAAATAAATCTGTAAAATAGGTACAGACTACTCTAGTAGATATACTTCGAGGTTAACTGGCTCTGTGATATCTACAATATGTTAGATACAATATATTCCAAAAGGATCTAAGCTATTCTTGATAAATAGATCTGTAACAAGCTAGCTAGCTTAAGCAGTTAGGTATTGCAGTGATATTAGGTTGGATCTGTATAGGTTAATGAACAGAATATTTAAATAGGTAACTCACAGGTGGGTTACAGATATAGTAGCATAGTATTGAACTAATCAGATAATCTAATTGCCTATGTAGCAGACTATTTAAATTAGACAATGACTAAAGTTGTATGTGTAGCTTATTGTACACTCTTTATATATTTACAAACAGTAGGGACTATCAATGTATATCCTGTATACAATTTTATTAAAATTTCTTTAACAATATAAGCTACCTTAATAACAAAAAAAAAAAAAAAAAAAACACTTCTTTTAAATTCTTAGGCTACTAGTTTCTTCTAAGTTACCAACAGATCTAACAAATTAAATTTATCACTCAAGAGTCTAATAATCTTACAAATACATTTAAAACCAAACAAATAACTGATAAACAAGTAGTATATATTATAAATACAATTATTATTCTAATATTTGAATACTGTATTCACAATATTGTTCTATTAAAAATAATTTGTAAACAAATTCTTTCAATATATTTAACTATAGCAAAGCACAAATTAAACCTCTACAAAGCCTTCCTAATAGTATTATACTTAATTATAATATTTATAGAATCAAAAATATATAGGATATATAGCTTCAATACTATATTTCAAAATTTTTACTTTAGCTTAATAATTCTAATCTCTTAGGAATTACAACAAAAATTTGCATTTAACAACTGCAAAATAACTTATAGTCTACTATAAATATTCTATAGTATTCTAACCCAATTATCAATAGGTTAAATAAATACTTTACTAACTTCAAAATTACTTAATTACTCCAATATTTGAATATACAAATAGATGTATACTCTAGTATAATTTGGCCAAAAACTATTATATATATAGTATATTTTCTTAAACAACTGCTCAACAAATACAATTCTTATAACATATTCAAAAAATAACTCAAAACTAAAAAAATACTCTACCTTGACTAACTTACTATAATAAACAATAGTGTTCTCTTAAAATAGAAACACTTATCTCTATGAATAGGCTACTTGTCTACTAGAAAAACTCTAATTTGGTTCAAATTTCTTGAAAACACCTTAATTAAAAACTCTTTTAATTGAAAAATTATATAACAACTAGTATTTATACCTAACAACTACTTTAGTTTTACTACTAGATATTTTAATAAAAATAAACTGAAGCTATAGCTAATTATTATTAAAGATAACAACTTAATAACTGTCACAAATTATTATGAGAATTTTTTAACAAAAGGCAATTATGTGATTTCTATTAAATTTGCATATATGAACATGAGGCAGATCTAATATTATAAACTCTATTTATTTATAAACTCTATTCTAGAAATCTATTTCTGAATTTATATTTTCTTTCTAAAAATCTATCTTCAAATTTGCATTATACCTTCTAAAAATTTATTACTGAATCTATATTATAATCTAGTCCCAAACCTAGTTCTAAACACTACATAAAAAGCTAAAAATCTAAGTTTAAAAAAAACTACAATTTTAGAGAAAAAAATTACAATTTTAAAGAAAAAAAAACAAGTTTCTTATTATTTTTTTTAAGATTAGAGCAGAGAAAATGATGTGGCTAATAGTAGTGATATAGCTAATAGTGATGATACAGCTAACAAAGATAACACAACTTGACTAGAGAGTATAGAAAAGAAGTTAAACAAGGTAATACTATAAATATAAAGCTTGTAAATTTAAGATACCTTTTTTATTTTTATTTTTAATTTAATAATCTCTTTTTATAAGATAATGAATAGTACTTCTCTTAGGTATTTCAACAATAATAGTTTTGTTATTGTTGGTTATATTAATAATAGTTCTAGTTTTATTAAATATAGTTTGAAGTTTTTTTTTTCTGAATAATAGATTCATATCTGTATCAGAAGCTATAGCAACTGGCTAACCAGCTTCATAAAGATTCTTATAACAATGAATACTTGCATATTTAAGCATGTATTTTTAAGATTTTTCTAGATAAATATTTACTTCATTATGAATTACAAAGACTTTCTCTAGATAATTTTTTATAGTTTGAGATATAGTTTGTATTTCATCTACTTCTATTTCCTGAAAATTAGCAGAATTAAACTGTTGGTATACTCTATGAAGCATATATCTAAACATTACTTCATAGAGAGTTTTACTATAAGAACTATATAAAGTAGTATTATAAGAAAAAACAAATTTTGTTAAGTTATCTTTCTAATTAATATTTTGTAATTAAAGTTTTTCATTCTATAATATTTTCATTAATCTATATCTAATAGTCTAATTCAAATGCTCAACTTGCTTTTGTAACATTAGATATTATGAGTAGCTATGCTGAATCATAATTTCTAAAATTTTATAAATTCAATTGATTATATTAGCAGTAA